TAGTATGATTCTTTGTAATCCTTTCCGAGTCTGTGAGAAGAGACTCCACGGTTTGATCCTGTTGTAGGCACAGTTTCTGAAATGGTGAAAATCTGTGATGATGTCAAATGCCCGTAAGTGTTTTGTTCTTCAGAGAGGTCCTTCTCTAGCTATTTATTCCACTAATAACTCTTAACTGTTGACTTCTGCCTTATGGCCCTGTAATGACAAAGCAATCATCCAGGTATATTAAAAAATTAACATAAATTTGCATTTCCCAGTGTTTGTTTTCTTTTTTGTCCAATTCATGAATATTCTTTTCATCCTCCATCTAATTAGTGATTTAATTCAGTGCATACTGTTTTAAAGACTGGCACTGCCAAAAGAGGTTTTTGGTACAGTCTCAGTTGGGGGATGGGAGAGGAAGAAGAAAAACTATTTCTGGTCTTGGCAGATCAGGTAAAAAGAGTAATCTTTTTTTTTCTCGTGCAAATTCACATCCTTCCAATGTTTTCCAGGCAAAAAGTGTATTTTTTAGACACTGATTAAAAGAGTTTATTACTTAGATTAAAAAGTGAAATTTTTTTTCACCCGTATCAAGTAAGGTATGGTGGACTGCAAAGTTTTTGTGTGTTTTTCCAAGACTGTAACTTGCAGAAATTAGCAAAATATTTACCAATGACTGTATAAGCGCAGTTTAGTCAGTGATTCTGGAAGCTGTAATTCAGCAGTGTTTCTCACCTGCTGTGTGTAAACGCAGAAATGCTGAGAGCTGGAGGGATGAAGCGCGGGGCGGAGGTTGTGCGAGTACAGTTCCACCAAACCTGCGAAAGATGGAGAGGAGAAACGTGAGCAGCGGGTTGGCGTGGGGCGGTGCTGCTGGGCTTGGAAGGATGCTTGGCTATGCCGTAACTAGCCTCTTCCTTCACTTTTCTGGCAGTGTACTAATGTTAAAAATTAGGAGATATGCCAAGTGATTGAATTTAAGACATTGTGCTGAAAGAGTAAATGAGCTCTCCTCGGTGAATTCCCAGCGAATTAGCATCCTGCCCTTCCGCCTGAGGCTGCTGCGGGCGTTCCTCCAGGTGTAACCACACAGGAACCTATTAGTGTGCCAGGGTTAGAAAAGATTTATCAGCGTTCAGAGCTGAGGCCAAAGGGCACCTGCGGTAGGATGTCGTTTCCCTGGTGTCGCAGCGAGGTTCGCCCGGCGCGGGCTGGGGGGACACGGCAGGAGCGGGGCTGGCGCGGGGCATCGGCTCGAAACCTGCGCAGATGTGCTGAGCTCTCCTTGTGGGGTGTACCTGCAGCACGAGAAAGGACGGTGATAACAGATGAGCTTCCATAATGTTTTAACGGATAAACATAGCTGGGAATAACGTGCATTTTCCATCGTACAGCTGATTAATTCTGATTGCGAAATATTGAAGTTTCCCCCTGTTCAGTCCACCCTTGCCATCCGCTGCGGAGGCTGACATTAAATACACCTGTGCCTGGTCTCGGTGCGGGGCAGTGACGGGCAGCACCGGCGTCTGCTGGAGTTCGACGCTTGTGTTTCAGACCCGCCAGCTAAAGGACAGCAAACCATTGTTGATGTAGGAGTTGTGGTAATGAAGCCATTCATACAAGATCTGCATTTGTTTTAATTCTGCCATCACATGCGGTAGAAGCCACTTGAGCTGCTGCTGTTTGTTACCAGATATTCTTATATGGAAACATAAAACTATTGAAGTTCCTATTGATCTCTGAATTGTCAAGGGTGGTGCTCTATTGGAAAGAGGTACATCACATATTTAAGCACTCTTGGAAATGGAAATCAATCTCACAATTCATAAATTCCATCTGGCTAGAGTAGTAGCAGAGCAAAGTGCCAGTTATGATTTCAATGAACTAATATTTCATGCTGTAAATAGTGTAATGTGGACGCGGAGCACATAAACATAATGCTGTAATGGGGCTTTCTCACAAAAAGTCGTCTTAGCTTCTTTCCACTAAATCACCTGTCAGGGCGTAGGACTGGGTTACGCAGCCTGCGCGGCGGGTTGTGCACAACCGCAGCACGTGCCGCGCGGTCGAGCTTTGCATCGGATTCAGCAGCAGCATCGCGTCCTCTGCGGCTCCCGAGAGCCCGTGCCGGGGTGCGGGTCCACAGCTCAGTCAGCGCCTCGCCGGAGACACAGGGACCGGAGCAGCCCCTGTGCCGGCGGGACCGGGAGCTCGAGCGCTGCTCTCGGCTGTGCCATGCGGCGCGGTGTGTTGTGCCGGAGGGGGTGCACGGCGCTGGCGTGGCAGCGGGCAGTGCGGGGCTCCCCGGGGGAGCGGGGTGAGCTCTGCCTCCTGCTCCCGGGCACGTCGGGATTGTTACTGGCAGATGTGGCTCTAATTGTCATCGAAAGAGCTGACTCCTCACAATCCTAAAATAAGTGCTGGAAATAAAGTTCTGTGTTCTGCTTCTGTCAGCTGTACAAATGCTTTTGCCGGAAAGGAGGAATAAATGAGGAGTAAATCACCGGTGTAGAAGAAGGATGGGGGTACTGCGGGGGGTTTCTTTGTCAGGCATGGTGGAGGCTGTGATCTCACTTAATTTTCATGTTAATATCTCCATCGGTGGTTCTGTGCCCAGTTGCTGTGGGTGGCGCGTGGCGGGGCAGCACCGCGCTGGAGGAGCACGCGGGCAGCACGCTGGGTCTCTGCTCCCTGCGTCCGAGGCAGGCCGTGCCGCTCCCACCAGCGCCGCTGCCGTGCCGCACACCCAGTCGGCTCCACACCGTGTAAGCGATGAACACGTTAAGAGGTTTTGTGTCCTCACCATTGGCTTCATGGAGCAGGTGGGTGCGTGCTCGGGGGAGGCGAGTGGAGGAGCTCTGGGTGCTGTGGTCGAGGTGGTGTGTCTGCCCTACCACTGCCACCCTGTCCCGGGGAAGGACGGACAGCGAGCAGGCAGAGGCTGGGAGAGAGGAGCCAGGAGGTGTGATGTGCTTCCTCAGTTTCTAGTACTTTCCAAGCCCCCCGGCCTTTCCCACCGGCCGAGCCGTGCTGGGGGCAGCAGCTTCCAGAGCAGCCGGCGAGCAGAGGTCAGCATGGAGAGAGCAGGCTTCTCCGGTGGAAGAAAACATGGAGCAAAACATCTACACCAGGTGACGGGAGTCTTGGTCCACACCAAGAACCACCCCATGAACATCCAAGACCTAAGCCAAAGGATCTCCTTGGGCAGAGAATGGACAGAGAGCAGCCCTGGGGAGAAGGACCTGGGGGTGTTGGTTGATGAGAAGCTCACCATGACCCAGCAATGTGCGCTGGCAGCCCAGAAAGCCCCCGGCATCCCGGGCTGCATCCCCAGCAGCGTGGCGGTGACAGTCCCAGTCAGATGTTTTACTTGTCTGGAAGCAGAGGTTTGCCTTTTCCAGTGAGAGAGGCACTCCACGTTATTGCCCAGAGAAGCGGTGGCTGCCCCATCCCTGGAGGTGTCCAAGGCCAGGTTGGACGGGGCTTGGAGCAACCTGGGCTGGGGGGAGGTGGCCCTGCCCGGAGCACGGGCGGGCGGGGGGGTGGACTAGATGAGTTTTGAGGTCCCTTCCAACCCAAACCATTCTGTGATTCTAATCCTGCAGACCATATTTTGTGCCATTTTACTTTTTATTTTTAGTAATCAGTTTCTGTAACTGTGTGTAATACCAAATGTCCAAGGAAAGCTGTGGTAGCGGATGGGGTGCGGTGCTGTGTCCTGTCCGCAGGAACGGTGCACGGGCATTTTTGGAATCGTAAAGATGCTGAATTCAGTCCCAAGCAGAGCCGGCTGTGCATGCATTAACATACTGATGAGCTCACGGCTAGGAATTCCCGCATTTTTAGTACCACCGAGGCATCATTTGTCAAATGATTTAAAGGGGTTTTTTATTATTATTATTAGCCAATTTTTCAATATAGAATTTATATTCCAGATTAGTGCATCATAATGGTGTTTAATTAACATGCCACAATAAAATGCTCACATCTCAAATTTTCTGGCCACATCTCTGAGCATATATCAGTCACTTTTTGGAGATCTGGAGAATTAGATAGTGTAAATAAGATTTCAAGCTAGTTTTCCTCCAGCAAAGACCTGAAATGTACAGTAATGTGGCTGTTACTTCACAGATTACTAACTTTGAACTGAATAAGTTATAAGAAAACTGGTGGAAAAGTATAATGTGTGGAATATGCTTAATTTTAATTTTGAAGCCATGAACATCCAAGTGAAGGATATTTTGCCTTATTCCATGTTCTGCATGTAGACCTTTATGTTAGGGCCGTCCCTCCCGTCCCGCCTGCAGTGGTTGCCGTGCCGGGGAGCCCGGCCGGGCCGTCAGCACCGCCCTCCATGTCACCACTTAAAACCTGTGTTTGGGGCTGAGCAGCGGCGAGGCCTGCCGGCAAAGTGCCACGCAGATAGAAATTACAGTTTTGCTTTAATTTTGATTGTCCTGTTTGTAGGAAGTGAGATTCCTGGGTTTGGGTGTCTGCTTCGTAGCATCGTCGCTGTATCCTGTTGTGTTTTACAGCGGTGACGTTTCCCTTTGCCATAAGCAATCGTGTAGGTTTGGGTGATGTTTTGGGGAGAGGCTGTTGGAGTGATGATTCCAGGGTTAATTGGCCTTTTATTTTAAATATAGCACTTATCTTCTGCGTGTGATGATTATACAGTGAATAGTTACATAAAGTAGTCCTAATGTGGTAGTTCAACTGAAATATAGTCTTGGGCTGAGCGGGAGCTAACCAGCCATTTGATAGATTTTTGCGTTTCCTGCAGTGGGGATGCGATGGGAGAACGAACTTTACTGAATAGAGTTCAGCTGCTCCTGTAAGCCACCACTTGCCTTAAATTGAAATGACATGAGAAGCCTGTCAGCGTTTCATTACTTCCTTCTGTTGTGCTGATGGTATGCTAAGATCACCATCTGTGTTTTTCTTCTGTCAGGCACACGAGCTCTGCTGAAACTTTACAGGAATATTCTGAACAGTTTTTTTTCTTATCTTTGCAGGTCATGCAATATTTAAACTTACATATCTAAGCAATCATGACTACAAACACCTTTACTTTGAATCAGATGCTGCTACTGTCAATGAAATTGTACTGAAGGTGAGTATTAAATTTTAACATGACCCAAAATCCTGGGTGTTTTACCACTTGTTAGACATGAAAGTATTCAAGAGGCTCTGGAAATATGTGAGCGGTGCAGTTCCTGAGGACCACTAAGGTGCATTTAACTTACCAGGCTAGTCGGTTGGTGCCTATTATTTTATTCCTTTTCCAAACAGCCAAGCAGCAGACCGCCTATTTGTGCGTCATATTTCCTGTTATACTTGTTTCTAGTTAATAGAGACACCAGCTTTCCGTGGAGTTTTGTAGGAAACTACCAAATTTTATCGTGACCAGATAGTTTCCACCTCCAGACACGTGAGATGGTCGGCAAGCCCCGTGTCGTGGCGGCTGCGAGGGTGCAGGTGTGGTGCGGCATTGCTGCGCTGCCCCAGGACCCGTCTCCGGCAGAGCACCGCGGTGCTGCCATGTGGCTGC